GCCTCGCGGCGTAGCTATCTGGAAGGTGCGGCTCTCCACAGCGCCCATGACCAAGATTCGTCGAAAAGGGTGGGAGGTGCCGGTTGTGTTTAAGAAAACAGCTGGATCCACCAAGGAGTTGGCAATGACGCCCAGGGTGATCTCCGACTCATTCACGTTCTCAAAGACGTTTGACCTGGAGCCGTGGCGCACAAACTCCGGGCTTTGGAAGCCTCGGCCGGCAGAGGCACCACTTGCAAATTCACCTTCCACAAGCAAATTCACTGCGCCCTCGTACCGTTCATACAAGGCGCTGGAGTTTAACAGCCTCAGCCCACGAGGACTCGCCGATCTTCAGATATCTTCAGGACTTGAGAGCCAGCAGCTAACATCTTTCAAGCAAGTTGCGTCTGAGCATAGTTGCCGATGAGAAGAGAGTCAGCACTGTAGGGCATGTCCTGCTCAAAGCCCAAGAAGGGCAAAGCCCTATCACATGCATTCACATGCCATGCGTGCACACAGGTGGGCTCTTCCATGCCTCCGACGCATTCCAGAGCTCCATGGTAAGGTTCGCCATCCGCACGTCGAAGGCCACACCTGTAGTAAAATGCAGTAAAATGCCCCTTGGACTTCTGTTGGCACTAGATGGCACAAGATGGCACCAGTCCCACAGCGAGATGCCATGACAGATGCACCGAACAGTGTGGACCCCCCTGGAATCCTGTGGGAGCCCGACAAATTTGAACACGGAAGCTGCATTCAAGATGCTGCTTCGGCCAGCTGATGCATCCTCCTCAAGCTGCTGATGAAGGAATCTCAGCCAAGGATGGGAGATGTTGTAGACAGCATTGCCGTTGATGTGGAAAAGCCTTGGCCACGGGCAGAGGACGATGAGACCTCTAGAAAGCTGTCCAGCGATGCATCGCTGCCCAGCAACAGATCCTGCGGCATGTCCTTGAGAAAGAGGTCCCAAGAGTCCCCTGAAAGGAGATGTTCACATGGCTCTATGTGTATTGCAGCAGAGGCTCAAATATGGCTTCCACATCTTCCGCTGACAGCTGCAGGGCCTCGCCTCGATAGCGGCTCCCGCGGATAGCAGCTGGCGGGTATGTGAAAGCTTCCAAGATGAACTGTTCCAGCCAGCCGGGTCGAATGGGGACCTGCAACGATGAGCTGCACCAGCCCTGCTCCGTGCAATCCGTGCACGAATTGTCCGAGGGCTCTGTCGGGCAAAGCCAGCCGAGCTGCGGCATCGAACTCCATGAAGTAGAAGGCAGAGTAGTCTCCGCACGTTCGGTCCTGAAGCGTAGCAGCTCTTTTGCAGGGGCATGGATAGCAGCTAGCAGCAGATGCAGCATGTCACAGCTGTCCGCGGACGAGGTGCTAGAAAGCAACCAAGCACAAAGCGGAACACAGCATTCGGACCACTGACCCAATCCGATCTCACGGCATATCCGCGAGAATCCTTGCCACATTGTTGCATATTGACTCGCACAGAAGCGCACAGCTGCCTACCACAGGGAAAGGAAGGCATGTTCTGCCAAGGGAGATCCAAGGAGCGTAAATGTCCTCTTCTGCAGTCAGATTGGCTTCACGGACTGAGACGGACTCAAAGCAGGCGTGCCAGGCATCGCTTTGCAGCCTCTGATGGCATGGGCACAAAATCTGGAGATTGGGATTCCTCTTCATAAGAGCTGGCAGCCCGCTGTTGTTGTGCTAAAGGAACTGTCTGGCTTGAGCATTACGCTCTGCCTGCTGACGTCAAAAACTCCGGTGTGCAAAGTGAGCACCTGTGAACCAGAGATCTGCCAAACCAGGCTGGCCCTTGAGATCGGTTTCCAGCTTTTGGCGCCGAAACCGAGATTCCGAGATTCGCCGGGAAGGGGCGGATAAGGTTCTGAGTCCAGATTTCACGAGTTGCTCCGGGGCTTCAATTCTGATTTCCCAGCGCATCCCCGCCCACCCAGCCCAAGAAACCATGCAATTCCAGTGGCTGATGCTTTATCACACCCAAAGTCCAACTACCTGGGGCTAATGCACCAACACCACCACTACCCAAACTCCATGCACCAACACGACCACCTCGAGCTTCAGACCAAAAACTGAGATATAATGTGATGAAAGATGATGCAAGATGATGCAAGATGATGTAAGCTGGGAAGCTGGAAAGCGCTCGCCAGCCGCTGCGAAGCATTCTGGGCCCAGCTGTTTGCCTGCAAGCGGAGGCTTTTCTGCAACCTCGCAAGACTTGCATAGGCCTCTCATGGCTTTTCAGTGGAGGGTCCTGGAAGTTTTGGCTGTAAACCAAGATCAAGTCCACCGGAACGCTCCAGTGGAGGCAGGGAAGGATCTTGTTCCACTGCTCAAAATTTTCCTGCATGGCACTGATCTCCGTCTGGCTGGCGAAGGCCCGCACCACGGCCAAT